TCTTTATGTGAACCTGTATTGGTATACATTTACCTCAGTACTGCTTTGCTATATCCCATAGATTCTAGAATGTTGTGTCTTCATTGTCACTTGTCTCAATGTATATTTTAATTTGTTTTTTTGTTTTACTTCTTAACCCAGTGGTCATTCAGTATTCTTCAGTCTCCACATATTACTGTTATTTTTAATGATTTTTTTTTTGTGATTGATTTGTATTTCAATATCATTTTGTTCAGAGAAGATGCTTGGTATGATTTCAGTCATCATGAATTTGTTGATACTTATTTTCTGAGACAATAAGTGGTCAATCCTGAAGAATGTCCCATGTACACTTAAATGTTATTCTGCTTTGATTTATCTTTGATGTGAAGTGCCCTATATGTCTATTAATTCCATGTAGTGTAATTCTTTGTTTAAGGCTGATGTGTCCTTATTTTTTCCTATTTGATCTTTATATTGGTGAAAATAGGGTATTGAAGTCACCATTCAACTGAAGTGTTTTTTCCAATGTCTGTTTTCAGTTTTGCTAGTAATTGTTGTAAATATTCTGATACTTCTTTGTTTGGTGCTGCCTGTATATTGATGAGTGCTATATCTTCTAGTATTGTCCCCTCAGTTATTATATAGTGTCCATATTTGTCTTGTTACATATTTACATATTTATATAAGATATGAATATGGCTCTCTATGCTTTTCTTTGGGTCCCATTAGTTTGTAGGATAAATTTCAACTCTTTTATTCTGAGTCAGTTTCTATCTGAGGCCGAGATGCATTTCCTGAAGACACTGGATGTTGTATTCTGTTTTTTAATCTAACAAGATGCTCTATGTCTTTCAATTGGTACACCCTTCTGTACCTCTGGCCTGAACACCAGTGCTTGCATAAATAAATAAATCTTTAAAAAAATAAAATAATGGTGTTTAAAAAATAAATGAAAATTAGTGAATTCTTTTAAAATTAATTTTGTTATATTTTAATCAAATTGATGCATGCCACTAATGAAGCTACTACTTAATAGTCTTATGAGGGTGTTTTTTACTTAAAATGTAAACTGTTTAGAGACATCTTATTTATCATTAGAAGGCATATTTTGTGTAAAGGAGTGATTTAATTTATTTCCCATTCTTAGTTGAAAGGCACCTCCTACTCATTTAATTAACATTTTCTCTAAACAAATGTAAAACTCTCCAAGTTTATTTTGTCTTATAACATAAGCTTATTTTGTGAAAATACAGAATTCATTTCTGAAATATTTTTAGGGTTTATCCAGAGGTTTAGCTATGCTCAGAATTTTGTGAAAAGTTAAACACTAAGTTTTGTCAGAAATGTACTTTCACCTGTGTTTCTTGATAGGAATGTATTTTTTAAAAAAACAATCTAGTTTCTTAATTATTAAGAAGAGTATGTAAAGGACTGAGCAATTTTAAATGTACCCTCAAGAATGCTCTGACTGGGTTACTCTTTTAAAACAACTATCCTAGTTGATGAAAATTTAATGGGAACCGTTTGTGAGTTACAGAGAAGAGTAGAAGGCAATTCCTGAAAGAACCCTAATATCCTGAGGTAAGAGTGTGTTGGTTATAAGTGCCAGTAGAGTTTGTGTGAGGTGTGGTCTTTTAATCCACCTAGTTTGAACTAGGTGGATTTCTCGAATACCCATGCTCAATGACTCTAGTCTTCAGCTGTCACACAGAAGCCAGCTTATTTATAACATACAATGAGTGTGTTGTCTTCTGTCATATCACTTTTTGTTTTTCCTCAGACTTCTCTACTCTTTATCCTCACTATCCTACTTTTCTAACTTTCTTTTTAAATTTTTCTTACTTTTATTATTTATCATTTTTCTTCTTATCATTTATTTTCCCTCTTATTTGTCATCATATTTTGTAGTAAAGTTATTCTGTACATTTCTTTCAAGTTCAAATCTTGACTTTCTAGAACTTCTACATCTAAGCTTATTTTGAATAGTATTTTGTTATATGATTTTCTCTTAGGTATATCAGAATGTTCAAAGAAATAAGAAGTATAATGAAAAAGTTTTTTTTTAAAGATTTATTTATTTTATACAAGAACCAGGGGACAAAGTTCTTGTATATATACAAGGCCAGATGTGTGGGAGGGTGAGAGGATTCACCAGAGACGGAGTGGGAAACAGAACAGGCAGACTGACAAAATACACTGCTGAGGGGAGCAGCAGGCACGATAGGAGAGGGCTCCCGCACCATGTGGGACCCTTGCCGGCAGGCCAGGATCGAACCAGTGCTGCTGCGGTTGCAGACAGCTTAACAGAGCGTTGCTCAACCGCCTGCACCACCAGGGGAGATTTTGATGTGAGAAAGATCAAAAGTTTTTGATCTTTCAAAATTTTGAAAGATCAAGATCTTTCAGATTTTGATCTGAAAAAGATTTTGATGTGAGAAAGAATTCAATTCAATTACTCACTGAAGTAGAGGAAAGGTGAAAGTTAGGTATAGGTTTTTAGAACTTTTGTTGTTTATGCCTGGTAAGCACAGGCATTTTTATATATCCTCAGAGCCCAAAATCTTGCTTTTAGAGACAGGTACCATGGTCAAACTAGGAAACATTGAATTCACTTAATGTAAAAGCAAAACAAAACAAAACCATTAGTTTTCTCTCAGAAGTGATCCTTTGGTCTCTTCCTGCACTGAGAGTAAGAGAAACTTTTCTCCATCTGTAGAAAGTCCCAGAACCCTATCTTGCATCTCTTATGTTTGGGAGGATTTGGTGGTAACTAAAAACAATACATACGAAAGTATTCTGGAGTTTGGATTTGCTTTAATATTAACTGTTGGCTGGGTTGATGTTACAAATATTTATTCACAATTTGGTAGAGATATGTCAGTATAAGAGAATTTTTGATTAACTCAATAAAATATGGTATTTGTCTGAGACAATGGTTGCATTTTAAGACCACTCATTGATATTCTATTGCCATAATAAAATCTATTGGTAAGTGACTGTTTCACATTATTTTCAGTGATTTTTGTTTGCAATATATTTTTGTAACTAAGGTGTGGAAAGTAGCTAAAGGCAAATTGGTATCTATATTATCCCTTATAAAAACCTCACTCCTCCTTTCCCTTCACATAAACATCTAACCTTCATGATGGCACCCACTTCTTACTTTGTTCATTCTTTTGATTGCTCCTCCCCAAGAAATATTTTAAGTATGTACTGTGTGTCAGGCACTATTCTCGATGCTGGGGTTACAATAAGAACAAAAACCTTCAAAAATATTTCTCCACAAAGCTTTTGTCTTAGTGAGGAAAGAGAGATAATAAAGATAGACAAACAATTGAATTATGTAGTATATGATGTGGTGATCTACGTTGTAAAGAAAGTAAGAGCTAGGGATTAGGGAGTGGTAGGTATTGGGTGGAGTTGCTACCTTAAACTGAGTCAGGGAAACTTAGACTAAGTCTTGGGGAAGGAGTGGAAGAATGAAGGAAGTAGGCATAAAGGGAGCATGCAGATATACTGGTGCAGAAAGCCTGTGGAATGATCGTGTCTGGGAGCCTATTAGAAGGAAGTAAAATTGAGGCATAGAGAGCATGTGAGGAAAGGGAGTAAAGAGAGTAAGATATGTGTAAGCAGATGAAAGGTCATGGGCCCATGTAGATACTGCTGTAATCTAAGTGAATGGAAAACTTTCAGTGTAATTTTATAATATGCTATCCAATTTAAATATAAATACCTTTAGATTTTTATATGTTTTAACGTACGTCAACAAATTAGGAATGTTTAAACATTTTCTAGAGCAACTGCTATATCTTGTTCAGTGTCTGACCTCATGCCAGCTGAGTGGTGCAATGTGACAGGAGACAAATTCTAGGCTTCAACTTGTCCCAAATTCTTGTGCCATAGGCCTTAGTATCCTCAACTGTGAAATTCAGAGGATGGAGAAGATGTGTGGTTTTCAGACTGAGTCATTGTAGGGCCAGGAAGGCACAGAGCAGGATCTCTATGATCCGAGCAGACGGGTAAAGGAGGGTCCTGGAGCACTCGGTGGCCTTTTCAGGCTTTTATTGAGTTTACCAGGTACATGGCTGGCAGACCTTCCAGCCCCCAGCAAATCTTCACTCTTCCTGGGCTCTCTGGTGTTCTCTTTTGGCCTCTGTTTCTTTGCTGGTTCTCTTTCAGACACTCGCTTGTTCTCCTTCCAGTGGTTCCGTTCTGCTAGCGTCCCTTATAGGCCCCATCTCAGCCCAGGTGTACCCACCTATGTATGCCCACAGCCTACTCCAGGTGCCCGCCATCAGGCATGTATTCAGGACCGCAGGGATCCCTCATCAGTCCTAATGGCGGGAGGGCAGATAAGTCTGATAATCATTTACCCTACACCCATGAAGCATTGGGATTCCTGAAGTTCTTTTTATTTTTGTTTTAAATTACCATGCAAACTTCTCTTGGAAGAAAGTGCCTCCTAAATTAAAATTCCTGGACTTGGTTATTCTTTAGGTTTTCTAGTATGAATTTGCAGCTTTATAGACTTTCAAATGACAGACTAAAGGAGCAAGATTCCTTCAATCCTCTATTACTCAGTACCTCTTGGTAATAGTATTCACTATCTCACATTGGAATCAAAAGGTAAATGGGCAATAGTTAACTAGGACATTCAAGATCCTAGCTTTCAAGATAAGTGAGCTAACATATCATTTTACAGTCGTTAGCTATGTGTATATTAGCTATATGACACAAAATGGAAAATAACAATTGAGAAGAATAATCATGATCAATGTGTAAGGAAAGGGCATTAGACTATCCTGCTCATAAAATAACTGACATGAGTGTTATTCATTATATGTGTTGTATATACTGAAAAGAGTCTTGTCTTCATAATACAGAAGTATAATTGGAAAGCAAATCAGATAACTTTGGTACTTCTGGTTAAAAACATACTTTAGTTAGTTTTATTTTCTGATCTAGGAAATAGGAAAACTTCTTTAAGATATTGACTGTCTTCTTCCTTTTCAACCCAGAATCTCAATCTGCTGTTTTGGAAACTCCAAAAAAATGTTCAGATGCTGTTCAGCAGGTAAGATCTTAGGAGGTGGAACATGTTTCTTATTTGTCTAAAAACTGTGGCAGACTCTGATTTATGTTCCCATCTGTCCAGTTACATATGCTGCCCCTTTTCCCTAAGTCTGCAGGGGAATCCTGTCAGGAATAAGGGGATGGTATAAGGGGATGGTTTCTTTCATTTAGACTTTCTTTCAAAGTAAACCAATCTTGAAGTGGAATAGCTTTTCAGAAGCTGCATCATTCTATTTGAAACTAAACAGTTGGGCATAGCAGCTGTTGGTTGCAGCAGGACATAATGGCCTCTCACTCCAGATATTACATGGAGATGTTCCTGGCCAAAGTAACAGTCATGTGGATACAATTGAAAAAAAAAAAAAAAAGGTCTTTGGAGTTTTTCTAAAATCACATCCTATCTTAAGATGCTTTGGTGGATGAAACATTGGTGTCTATTTAATTTTCACAGCAAGTTTTCTTTCCTATTCCCTAAGTAGTCAAACTTCGTCTTTTTTTCTTGTACAAAAATGGATTTACTATTAAAAAACTACAATAAAGGGAACATTTATATGGAATAGTAGCTGTGCATAGTATTGCTATTTTGGATATAAAAATATTTGTTTAACTTATTTATACATTATCCAAACATTTTTGAAAATGTTTTAGTATTAGAAATTTCCAGTGAGAAGAGTATATCTGTTCCTCAAGTGTGGTTTATTAACAAAATGAGAAGACTCTTACCTAGGGTCTAGGTTCTGGTCTGTTCTGGTTAGTGTGTGAAACATACTAGCTTATCTGGAACATAGTGTTTTACTTAGTAAAATTTAAAAAATAATGATGGTTTTTGAGAACTTTTCCAAATATCAACCAATTTCCCTCTTAAAAAAAGCAAACTTAACATTGTGTATGAAAGTTATACAACAGCTGAAGGGGACTAAGGATATAAAGTTGGTCAAGAACTTTGTATCCATAACTTTGTTGTTAGACAAAACACTGATGCTTTTCAAAATCACAGCTAGATTGACTAAGTATAATTATTCTTTCATGAATTGTGTCATGAAACAGGTTTTCCTAGTTTCTTTCTGTCAGATACAGTGCTACATCAGATTGCGTCTCTTGGAGAGACAAGGTGGACTCAGCTGCAGGTTATTTAAATTATCTGTGTGAGTAGATATTAGTGAATGAAATGAAAGCAAGGTAAAGTCATTATTTTTTAAAAAGATTTATTTATTTATGCATACAAGAAATGGGGTACAGGCCAGAGGTGTGGGGGGTGAGAGGACTCACCAGAGACAGAGTGGGGAGCAGAACAGGCAGATTGACTAAAATACACTGCTGAGGGGAGCAGCAGGCAAGTCAGGAGAGGTCTGCTGTGCCATGTGGGTAGCTTCCTGGCTGGGGATCGAACTTGTGCTGCAGTGGCAGCATACAGCTTCATAGGTTGCATCCTAACCCCTTATGCCACCATGGAGGCCTTGAAGTCATTATTAATTAAGAAGATAGTGCCCTCAAAATATTTGTGCCCTCTCATTATCTTTAAGCCCTTTTTTATATGTGACTAAATTGTGATGTAAGATAATATTTGAAATTTTCATATACAGGGCATATGTTAATGAAACCTATAATAAAAATTGTGCTTTTATGTTGGTAGTAAATCACCATATTGCTATTTAATACCATCTCATACCAAAATTATGAGATATATGAATGAAAAGTTTACTTTTAAAGGTATTCTGCTGTATTTAAACTATGCTGTAGTCAGATGTCAAGACAGGTTTTAGTGTCATGGAGACTATCATTAGTTTAATTACACATTGTAAGTTTTAATCTGCCTTTGGTATTCTAAATAAATTTTCCAATTTTACTAATGTTAGTGCTTCATTACTCTTTTAAAAGAACTAAAATTTTTATTTTTCATGTAAAACACCTTGCCTTTTTCTTCTTAGTCACTAGATGGCAGTTCTGTATCTCTGTAACTTACCACTCTAGAAGGAATGAAAGTTTTAAACCAGCTGTGTTCTGTATGAGTGGTTATCAGAAGAGGTTTTCTGGTCCCTCTGAGACTTCCTGCTTTCTTAATGGAGATTTCCAGGGCTGTTTAGTCAGAATCATGAAGCAGAATTGGAACACACTCTCTAAGTTTTTCTTCAGTGTGAGTTTACCACTTGTTCTCTCCCCTTGAACACATGTAATTTATTGAGTGAATTTTGAGTTTTATTCTTTCCCTGTAGTTAAATATTCTGAGAGCTCTGTATTTAGAGGAAAAAAAAAAATCCCATGGCTAGTAAAGCATTTTCTCAACTGAAAGGGGTTGAAAGCTGTGGTATTGCTAGTGAGTCCAATGTTTAAAGCAAATATAATAGGCACTCACAGGTAAAAAAAAAAAAAAAAGAGCTATTAATACTCCTTCATTTCTTTTATAGATAACCCTATGGGATTAAGAACATTTAAAATATAACTACCAGGCCTCCCTTGGTGGTGCAGCAGTTGAGCACTGAGCTGCAAAGCTGCCCACAGCCTCTGCAGCGCTGGTTCGATCCCTGGCCACTGGGGAGGGTGCGCAGTCCTCTCCTGCCATGTCCACTTCTCCCCTCAGCAGTGTATTTCGTCAGTCTGCCTGTTCTGTTCCCCGCTCTGGTTCTAGTGAATTCTCTCATCCTCCCACACTTCTGACTGTACCCAGTGCTTGTATAGATAAATAAATCTTTAAAAAAAAAAAAGTTAACTCATTATGAAATACAAGAATAAATCAACGAAATGATCATTTAAAAAAATAAAATATAACTACCTTCTTTAAACCGTACTAATTCCAAGTGATGTGATCCAAGAATGTGCTCTCTAAAATATGTAGAATAAAACTTGATCCTTACAAGTAGTGGTTTTGGCTAAGTGTACTGTCAGGCAACTGGATTTTGGGTCTCTACAAACTACTATATTTATTATGAGTAACCATGTTTTTTAAAATGTGTTAGATAATAGAAAGAAATTAACCAGTGGTAGCACTCTTACCCCTTAATTTGTACAGTTGATATGTAAATCTGAAAAAGATATATGCTTTGAGATAAGTGGCGAAATATATCTCAGTCCACTTTAACCTCTTCTGAAATTCAGCTTCAAATTCTTCTTCTAGAAACTTAGTCAGACCTTATCCCTAAGTTCCCTTATTGCCCAAATCAATTGTAAACTTATTTGAAGCATTGAATATTCTTGTTCACTTGCATTAAAGTGTCTGGTACAGTGCTCTTGATATATTTACCACTCGGCACAATTTATTGTTATTTTTCAGAAACATCTTTTATTAGGAACAAATTAAAGAAGCAGATGTGAGAAATATGAGGTAGCCTAGTTGATGGTGGATTACTTACATGTATCCTGCCACAGAAAAGTTTAAATAGGGCCTCTCTGGTGGCGCAGAAGTTGAGCGCTGGGCTGCGAAGCTGCCTGCAGCCTCTGCAGCGCTGGTTCAATCCCTGGACACTGGCGAGTGTCCCACATGGCGCGCAGACCTCTCCTGCTGTGCCCGCTGCTCCCCTCAGCAGTGTATTTCATCAGTCTGCCTGTTCTGTTCCCCGCTCTGGCTCTGGTGAATTCTCTCGCCCCCCTGCACTTCTGACTGTACCCAGTGCTTTTGTAAATAAATAAATAAATCTTTTTTTTTTTTTTTTTAAAGAAAAGTTTGAATAGTGAAAAAACCATTGGTCAGGTCAAAAGATAGGTGTGGGTGATTATAACTCTGAAGCAATAATGAAGGACTCTCATAAAAACAGCAAGCTGCTTGTATTTGCTAGGATTTACTAGACATAGCAAAGGGTTGGGGGGAAATTTTTAATGCAAATTTCTACTGAACTCTAATGCAAAAGGTGATATAAATTTACAAAGTAATTTTAAACCAACAAAAAATTCATGGGACAAGTAAACAATATGATATTTATCTTGATATTTATCAATCAGAGAAAGAAAAATGCAGGTGGTGGAACAAGTGAGGGAAATAGCTGGGATCAGAAAACATGGGTAATCATCCTTAAAGTTAATCTCAGAGTTTTATGAATCTTGGGTTCTTATTTATTTATTTATTTTTTAAAAAAATTTTTTTTTTTTTAATAGAGGCATGTTTTATTTATTTATTTGTTTGTTTGTTTGTTTGTTTTGTTTATACATGCACTGGGTACAGTCAGAAGCGCGGGAGGGTGAGAGAATTCACCAGAGCCAGAGCGGGGAGCAGAGCAGGCAGAAGGGCCGAAGTACACTGCTGAGGGGAGCAGCGGGCGGCAGGAGAGGTCTGCGCGCCATGTGGGACCCTCCTCTGGTGGCCGGGGAGCAGCCGGGGATCAAACCGGCGCTGCAGAGGCCGCGGGCAGCTTCGCAACCCAGCGCTCAACCACTGCGCCACCGGGGAGGCCCGGGTTCTTATTTATTTTTAAATATTTTATTTTCTATATATATTTTATATTTTTTACATCATTTTTCAATCTTGGGTTCTTAATAAACATTTTGATCCCATGCACCTGGGGAAGGGCAAAGTGAAGAGGTGGTTAAGAAGAGAAGGGATGCAAAGATACCCTTGCTTGTGACATTGAAAATAGGGAGCATCTTGGCAAGATATGTACTGTAATATATTAAAGAGAAAATGTAATTTTTCTGGAAAAGTACATTTTCAGTTTATGGAAACTCCCACTAGCTCAGAGAACAATTTATTGATTTTTAGCTTTAGGAGTAGAGAAAAAGTAGAAGCTATTCCATCAGTTTTAAAAATAAAAACAGCATATGTAAAGCAGTTCCAATTTAAGACAAGAATATGAAGAAAGAATTAGACACCGCATATTGTTTTTGTATTTCTCTGTGGCTATTGGACTTGCAGGTGAAATGAAATTATATCTTTGCTCTAAAAAGTGCTAAATGGTGTATGACTCATTTGTGCTAGACAACATTGTTGACAAGCTCTGTTGAAAGGGTGATTCTGCCAAGGTATTTAGTATATGTTATATTATACATGATTTGTAGATAGTTAAGCTAATTAAA